CCCCCCATACATACACGCATGCAAACAGGCGTCGGGTGCGTATATGTGTGAAAACGACGATTTCGCCCATTACGCTGCACATGTTACATATCGCCGCGAACGTCGGAATGAGAGCAATAATTGTAGGGCTATCAATCACTGATAACACTAAACTGATGAGCGGTAAAAGCTTTTAAAGCGTCACCTATGGTCAATTTTGGGCATGGTAATTATTTGCGATTTTGCGGGTGCGCGCAATTTTTAAGCTTGACATGTTTGGTGTCTATTTACCCGACGTGACCCCGTCTTTTTATATTTTACCAAAAATATGGGTGATAAATGGGTGTGGTTACTGGGGGTGTGACCACTAAAGGGTGTGGCCACTGAGGGGTGTGGTCACTGAGGGGCACTGTAAAGCTTTCTCGCACAGGGCGCCTAAAGGCCTAAGGCCAGCCCTGCCCATTATAGATCACACAGCACCCATCACATATCTCACAACACCCATACAGCACCCATCACATATCTCACAACACCCATACAGCACCCATCACACAGCACCCATCACATATCACACAGCACCCATCACATATCACACAGCACACATCACATATCATACAGCACCCATCACATATCACTCAGCCCCCATAAAGCACCCATCATATATCATACAGCCCCCATGCTGTACCAATGAAGTCCTCATCAGCTGGGAATCTTTTTGTCGTATTGTATATTGTGTGTTTTCAGCACCTCGGACAGAACTCAGCAAGGACAGGCAGGTTAGACAGAGGTTGATCCAGGTGAGCGATGACACATCGGTAACTTTATTGGTGTAAACTATCTATTGATTGTGAGGCCAGTGAATGGAATCATCTATTCTTCTATAACACACTATAGCTAGCAATACATGCCTTTGGGACTCCTGTGCTCAGCCCCAGTCTTGCCCCCGATCATCGCCTCCACGATCCGTACAGATGTATAGTGGAGGGGGCAGATGTGGAGGAGAGGCAGTCGGTTGTAATCGGGCCCCTCCCCCATGTCACACTCTCCGCTCCCTCCTTTACTACTTCATTGACTCGAAAAGTGCTTGAAGCCAGCCCCTCAGTGAGATCTGAGCAGTCACCAGCAGCACACGGGCAAAGTAAATACTAGCAGTACAAGGGATCCCGACACTGAAGAGGCACATACTAGTCTCAGCAGCATGGCCCTGACAGCGGTGGGCTGCTTTGCTCTCCAGCTTTCCACTATCATTTCTTGTGTGTTTGCAAATGCAGAGGCTGCACAAAAGCAAGAAGGCAGCTTGTACATGTGGATCGATGCCCACCAAGCAAGAGTGTTAATAGGTACCCTCACATTGCTTTACTCTCCTGGATGCAGAAATACTCGCAGTTCAGGCATGGTCACACTAACTGATGCTCTATTAGCACATCTACTCATCGCATTGGTTTTGTTGGCTCTTAGTTGTGGGACGTGTATATCATGGAACTGATTTGATGAAGCACTCTGCTTGTACCTGTCTACTCATCACTTTACCATTTATTGCAGGCTTTGAAGAAGATATCTTGATTGTTTCTGAAGGGAAGATGGCACCTTTCACCCATGATTTCAGAAAAGCGCAGCAAAGGATGCCTGCTATTCCTGTCAATATCCAGGCAATGAATTTCACTTGGCAAGCAACAGGACAGGTATGTCTGCCTATGGCAAAGTTATTATTATTATGATATTATTATTATTATTATCATTATTATTATAATTACTGGTATTTATATGGCGCCGGCAATTTACGCACTTCCCCATCACTCCCTGCCCTCAAGGTGCTTACAATCTAAGGTCCCTATCTCACATGCATACATACAAGGGCCGATATAGACAGGAGTCAACTAACCTATCAGCATGTTTTTGGAGTGTGGGAGGAAATCTACACAAGCACAGGGAGAATATGCAAACTCCTTGCAAATAGTGTCCTGA